CAACATTGTTGACTATGAAAAGGGGTAGCTTCTGTCGCTGCTGCTGCTGCTGCTGCTACAGCGCTGCAAGTGCCCCATAAATCTAGTTTTGGCTTCTCATAATACTTGCCAAGTGCCTTAAGTTTACTTTATAGCATCACTTCTCTATGAAAGCCCTATAAGCGCTTTAGTACGGAAATTTACGAATTTCCGACTTATCCCTCATTGCAAGTGCTCGAAACTAAATTGTTGCGTTTTAAGCTTCTTAACTTTCACTCGATTTAATTGAAATTTTTAATTTTGAACTAAATTATAAGAGGATTTTATCGTGTGTATTAAACAGCAAAAGTTTTGCTCAGTAAACAAATTTTCTGTTTAATAATTTTATTTTGCCTAAATTTTCATTTTTGTTTTCTTATTTTTTTATTTTATTTTATTATTATTATTATTTTTTTTTTTTTTAAGTAGAAGGAGTACATCAAAAATAGAGTCATAGGGATAGTAAATTATTAAAAGAGTCGAACTCCATATCGAGTTATGGAGATTTCAAGTTGTGGAGGTTTTAGTCCAATAGTTTAGGCCAAGCCTTGCCGCTTAAGTTTTCTTAGTGGTCTAGCTAACTTTTTACTTTCATGCGTTCAACTTTTACAGGGTAGTTTTTATTTAATTTCATATATATTCATGACTTCTAGCAGTCTTCAACTTCAGTTTGGGAGCTCTTCCATCATATATATAGAGCTGCCTTCAGCAGTCTATTAAATGAATTTACGTAAAATGATTTTGCCCTTTTACTACTCTCAGTGAGTTCAAGGCATCACAGTGAAGTTACCTGACAGCGCAATCTTTGCATTAGTGCATTTAATTTGCAAGAGCTGACATCAATTTGCTCGATCGATTGGGCCACACCCAGCTTAAGCTAACAAGACAATTACCATAATGACTCGGCTTAAGTCCTAACAAATAAGTGAGCTGTGCTAGCTAGTGTAGTCGACGAACAGTTATGCTCCATTTCACCAATTAATAAACATAAATGTAATAGAAAAATATAAAAATATAAACTGCTTATATAAAAACAATTTACGATAACCCAATGAACATTTTATAATAGAAAAAATTAATCTACAGAGCATTTTCTATAATGGAGTCGTCTGATAGCTTGCAAGGTCAAAAAGCTCATGAATAGCAAATTGCATTTTTTATGGACATTACAGGGTATTAATTTTGATCAAGTTGTTGGCGTTTGCTGGCCAGACTCTGATGGCCGACGGGTCACACCTTTTGTGGCTTGGCTTGATGGAAAATAAAAATGCAAAATCATGCATTAAACATGCAGCTCTTGCTCTTTGCTCTGTGTGGCGTGTGTATGTGTGTGTGTGTGTGTGTGTGTGTGCAGAGGTGAAAAATGAAACGAAAACAAAGAGCACAGTTTTTCATACGTTTTGCGTCATGGCGGGCACTTAAAGCCATATTGAGTCGGCAACTGCTGGTGTCCTTTGGCCTGCTTGGACGCTAGCCAACAGTTGAGGCGTTGCTGGTTGGCCTGGGCCACGCCCACCGTGCGCCAAAGTATGCAACGCAATGTTGCACTTTGACTAAATTACATTTTCAATTTGTCAGTGGCCGAGTCCAAGTCCGAGGCGGAAACAGCCAGTCCAGGCAAATGGCCAAAATGGCAGAGAATAGAGAGAAGGCGGAGACAGGGACGGGGTGGAGATGGAGCTGGAGCTGGCAGCAGTACGAGTATAATAAAATTTAAATATAAAAATAGATGGGGGCGGTCGCGAGGCGTGGCTGAGAGCGACCATCAATGGCAAATTAAGTAGCGTCTGGGCAAATGTGTTTTTGATATTTTCATTGGAGTCGAGTTTTTTGCGCATTATCTAGCGGATATTTGGATCTTGTGTCACGCATGTTGAATATTTCATGAGTAGCATAAATTTTTGGTTTATGCGATGCCCGCTCTCTTACTCTCCCTCTCCCTCTCTCTCTGTCTCGCTCTTTGTCTCCTTTTTTTTTTTGTTGTTATATTTGGAGCTCTTTCGCTTATCGCAGCATCAGTTTTTTTAATAACTTTCCATTGTGGCTGTCAGCTTCAGGCACACACAATGGCCTGCCAAGACTCCCGACATGTCAACGACTCTCAGAGGTTTGGCGGTGTTTGTTGCTGTTGGCGCTGTCGTGGCTGCTGCTCCAGGCTGCTTTATAATTTATGATCCTTGGCATCGACGACTCCTTCGCCAGCGCGGCGCACACATGTCGCCAACCTTCGTATAATTTTTCAAGCTGCGCCAAAAGTGCATGAATATTAACTGCAAGTGTTTTTCGGCGTAACGGGATGTGAGCGCCCAAGACTTTCCGGCTGCAGTCCACAAGCCCTCAGCGCGACTACTTGAGCTCCACTCCCATGACATGTCATGAGAAACTTTGATATGTCAAACGCCCCACCAGCCAATCTCGAATGGGGCTTCCTGTCCCGCTCACTTATGCATACATGTGGCTTAGTTTTGGCAGCGTTTTACATACTTGATGAAAATGTGCGCAAATTGTCGCTGCTGTCTATTGGAAATGTGTGCGATGATGGCCCTGCAGACACGTCGCCTTTCAGTGTCAGCTGCTGCTCCGACCCCCAAAGCGTTGGCTAAACGGAATTAAATACGGAATCCGGGAACAGCAGCAGCAGCAACGGCAGCAGCAGCAGCAGGTAACAAAGCGCTCTCAATACGGATAATTTGCTTAAGCTCAGAAAGCAGAAAATAACATTTTTCGCTCAAGTTCAGGCGAACAATGGAGGACCTTTGGTCGTGGCTTTGGCCCTGCTTATCACATGGCCAAGGAGAGAGCTGACTGCCGGCCAGCCAGTACAACTGGACAGCTGTCAGCTCTGGGCAGCTGTGCCGTTTAAATGTGAGTTTCCATTATCAAAAAAAGCAGAGACCAAACGAGAAGGAAAGCAAAAAATAAAAGAGCACAAAGAACGCAAGTAAGCCAGAAAAAAACATGACTAATAGTTTGTACAGAAAGGCAAAACAAAAGCCAGACAGAGTGTCAGATGAAAGCTTAAGGGACAGCAAATGACACAAATAAAAACACACACGAACACACACATACAAACACCCAAATATCTCCCATAGCTGTCTGTTACGTGCTGTCAATTAGTTGGACATCATGCTGATAATAATAATAACAATAATAATAATGATCGAATGAGTACGTAATAAATGAAATTTACAATTTGTATCCAGATGCCCGTTTAATCGGGCGTATGAGTAATTTGTGATAACACTCTTACATAACGAATTTCTATTTGAAATTGTAATTGAAACCACCTTCAACAGATACAAACGGCAAAACGGCAATGCATTTCAATTTCGAATTCATTAATTACCATTTGGCATGCCAGCAGCTGGTGCAAAAGTTCAGTTCACAAAACTTGATCTTTGATATCAATATAATAATCATTTGTTGTCGAAATGTAAATTCCCGCAAGCAAAAAGCGAATTGATAATTTATTTATTTACGAAAAATAGCTAAAGGCAGCACAGATGGGCTTTACAGATATACATATTATAATATATTTGTGTATACAGATATACAGATATAAATATTATTATATAATTGTGTATGTTTATGTATTTATATTTATATTGGCATGCAAGTCGCTCAAGTTTATGTTCATATGAGAGAATCTGCTCTCTTTAAAGGATATTCGATTCCAAAAAATCTAAAAAAAAATAAAATAAAATAAAAAATAAATAAAAATAAAAAAATAAGCATATATTCTAGCTCATATTATAGTAAATTAATTATTGTTTTTTTTTTTTAATTTTTATTTCTTTATTAAAACAGACTTTTTACTACCCAATTGGCAGCTTAACAAGTTCAACATAAATTAATTATCTGCCCTTTATTATTTCCATATTTTATTAACTACAAATTAGTTTTATTTTGACTCAAGGATATGCCATCCACTAAGCTCAACCAGACTATTATTAATAGCTAACTAAATCATTTATATTCGAAGCATAAATAGCGGAACGATCAGCAAAATCCGCTAAAAGAATAGCTAAAAAAATATTGCAAAGCAAATATCGTTCAGCTCCGCATGCACTTCAAGGGCAAAACTATTTTGAATAAGTTCTACATACTGCGATACGGTTAGAATATACACGGCAAGGCCATAAAGCGTATTTAGAGCATATAAGTTGAGCTAAGCAATTGTACAAGACCCTACAATTTTTGGGTGCTCTGCTCAAGCGGATCAACAGTTGGCTCCGACTCCGACTCTGGATTTGGCTTTGGTTATGTTCTTTTTCGAGTACATGGGGCGCAATACAAAGTTGCAAAGCAAATCGCATATAAGCTGCCCACTTTGTGGCCCACTAGCAACTTGTCGCCGCTAAGACCACACCTACACGCTTAGGTGTGGGAAGACAGTAAGGCACCAGTGTGTGTCTGTCTGGCTGTCTGGCTGGGTGTCTGGCTGGCTTGGTGAATACAAATGTGAACAGTGCAGGCAAAGGGACACAGTCCATAAATTTTGTAGCGCACAACATTTTGCTTTGTTTTAACTCATTTGCTCTGGCGCCAAAGCCACACACACACACACACGGACACACTCACACACATGCTCACTCGTAGATTGTCCCTTTTTTTGGCGGAGGCTATTGGCTTGCTGCATGAGCTTGCGACGGGCAGCGGCAACAGCGAGGGGAGGGTGGCAACCGCAGACGCAACCCACGCGAGCCACGCGCCTGCGGATATGCAACAATGTGGCCAAAGTTTCAACGTTGACGGTGTTGGCATTATGTGCACCGAGCGTGACTAATATGCACATGTTCAACTATGCTGGAAAACGTTTTGACAACAGCCCGCAAAAACACGTACACCACGCACCCAGCGCCATCGCCTCCGCCTCCGCCCCCTGCCCCCTGCCCCTTGCCCCTTGCCCATTGCCCCGCTGAAAAGTTATTTTGACCAAGTTGGTATTTGATTTTTGCATTATGGCTCTTCTATCTCTGCAGCAGCAACATGGCCAAGGATTTGAGCACTCTGGGCTGGGATTACTTCATGTTCGTGGCTTTTATAGCGCTTACCGTCTTGGGGCCACTCTGGACACGCATCTTCGGCAAGAGCAAGCAGCGCAGCAAGGCGGATTACGTTTTTGCCACGGGCGGCGTATCCCTAGTGGCTGTCATGATATCCATAGCGCGTGGCACACTCGGCGTACGATCAGTCCTGGGTGAGTGAGCAGCCACCAATCACCATTCAGCATCCACCTCAACTAAAGATCTCATTTGCCTTTACCAGGCTACCCCAGTGAGCTGTACTATCGCGGCTCGGCCATGTGGGAGATAATATACGGCATGATGAGCGCCTATCCCATCGTCTGCTTCATGTTTGTGCCCGTCTACTTCAACCTGGGCATCACATCTGTCTACCAGTACATCGATCTAAGGTGAGTCCCCCAGCCCGTAGGAATATATATATGTATATATGTATATCTAAACAGCATTATGACAGCATTTAATTAACACAAAGCGGCAACATGAAGATTGTTATTCTAACATTCAATTTAATTTCATAAATGCCGAGCCTCGCCCCCTGCAAATGATTTGATTCTTCGTTAATGAACGACAGAAAAAAAATTACTCTAAACAGAACAGCATGGCCCGAAACAAGAACAGGCTGTTGTTCAGCTAAATAAATATGAATAACATTTTCAAAAAGCAGAAAAGCAGAAAAAAATATGAAGCAATAATGACGCAACGACGCAGTGAACAGCAAAAACAAATGGCCGGGCAGCAAAGTGCAAACAAGGGCAGGCCAAGTAATCTATATATATTTGTCCTCGTCCGGCCAGGACTCCCTGCCAGCGCAGGACGGCCAACTTCCAACTACGCACAACTGTCACAAGTTGTCGCCGGTCGGCGTCCGCTTGTCGTGCGCTCGCCTTATCGCTCGAGCAGCCTAATTGTTTTTTAAGATTGAAATTAGTAAACTAATTTGTTATCAAATGTTTGCAGTTTCGACAACAAAATTCAATTAATTGCCAAAACTGACAAACGCTACGCACTCAGCTCGAGGCGAAGCGCAGGCAGCGAAGGCAGCGCAGGCAGCCGCTCGGCCGGCTCCAAATTTGATTCAGCAGCAGCATAATTTGATTCAAATTTAATTGGCAAGCAGCACGAAATCTGTAAGAAATTGAGAAATTATTTAAATGCTGCGCAAGCTGCCAATGATTGATATCAAAATGAGACTTGCCTAAATGCCGTTCACTCACTAATACCAGCTATCAAATAGACGTACGTTATTTTAACGCACAAATTTAGCTATTTCTACTTGACTGGACAGTGAAGACTTAGTTCACATTTATTCGTTATTATAGAAAATTATTAAATTATATTTCAATTATAATTTACGATTATTAAATACTTGAAAATATTTCAAGACTGTTTCTGCCCAAGTCTTTTGCCTTTATTTTTTTTATTTTTTTTTTTTTTTTTTTTTTTTTTTTTTTTTTTTTTTTTTTTTTTTTTTTTTTGATTGGTTTTTGTTTAAAATTAAAATTTGAAAAAATATTTCCTAATGCCTTAAATTATTATGCGATTATTATTTAATTTTCAAGCATTTCTATATACAAAAGTGTATTCGATTATTAAATACTTGACAATATTTAAACATCCAGATGTTTTTTTTTTTCTTTTTTTTTTTTTCGTTTAAAATTAAAATTTGCAAAAAAAAAATTAAATTGATTTTAGAACATGAATGCAGCATTTCTCTTAGTTTATTTAAACTACATTTTTTTATACAAATTTTAATCTGTATTTCCAAATTAGATTTTGTAAAATTTTTACAATTGCCTTAGACATATATCAAATGATTTTTATTTTATATTTTATATGCACAATTTTCCATTAGCCAACTTCAACTCCAAGTGCCTTGCCTTGTATTTGTTTTTGACAGAACTCTAACGCAGCTCCCTAGCAATCTTTGCAAGTATTATACTCAATCGAGGGCCACATTCCACACTAAAGAGTGAAATTTGTAGTTTAAGCCAATAGTTACATCAGCCACTCTCAAAATAGTGCTATTATACAGTTAACTAGCTCTCAGTTTGAATGAGTTGCAATACTGTGCGGGGCGCTGCGGCTAATTAAATGCTGGAACTAGTTCTAGTTGTTGCCTTCAATTCAAATTCAGCCCAACCATTGGGGCCATCAATCTTGGTTAGTGGCATTCTGTTTGACTACGATTAGTCTCGTGCTCCATGCAGACATGCGAGACACATGGTGAATTTCATGTGCGATTTAGTTTGATGACAGCCAAATGACATTCAGAACAACCCCAAAAGTGCTGTATGGGGGGGGGGGGGGGTGGCTGACTGATTGGAGGGCGGCTGTGGAAGCTGCGATGCTCTAAGCGAAATGTGCAGTTAAATAAAAATCAAAGCGGTTTACGTTATCAGCGACGATTCGCCAAAAACGGGGGCGTGGACAGCAGTTTGGGGCCTGCACTTGATTTGGGGACTCGGCGTTCAATCGCACTGCCAAATGCGTACGACTTGCGTTGACAGCGGCAAAACGTTTGCATAATCCACCGCCCACCCGACCAAATCCAGTTGCCAGCAGAAGACTAGACAACGCCCCTGCCCACCCACCCCCCCTGCCGCCATCGACCCCACTCAGATGCATTTCGTGCAAGGCAAATGCGAAATTGGTTTATGCAACAGACTTTTATGGCGCACGTCAGGCCGGCGCCAAGGCAAACTTTGACAGCGCCAACGCAGTCGCTGGCAAATTTTTAAATAGAGGCGAGTTGGGGTAGCTATCGTTGAAGGCGCAGCGGGCCAGGCCAGGGGAGCGCAGGCATGTGAGCTGCAAAACCTGGCGCACAGCATCCATTGCATTCGTGCAAATAAATTTGCTGTGCACGTACATGAAAGCCGTTTGCACAAGCATGCAATCATCCACAAATATTGTCTAAAAACACACACACACACACACCTATACATACACCCACCCAGCCCACACTCACACACACACATACACACACAAACAAATGAGTTGAATATTCAGGTTCAATTTGTGGAATAAGTTCAATTGGTAATTTTAAAGTCCTGAACTGAATCTATAAAAAAAAATCAATAAATATTTGTACAAAATAAAAGAAAATAAAAAATTAAAAAAAAAAGAAAAACAAATTAATAAAAAAATTAGATAATAATAATAAATAATATATTTCTTATATTATCTATAAAAAATCAAGAAATATTTGTAAAAATATTTAATATTTAAAAAAAAATATTGATTGAAAATAAAATTTAAAAAATAAAAGAAGTTTAAAAAATAAATTAATATATCTTATAATTTCTATATAAAAGTCAATAAATATTTGTAAATAATATTAAAGAAATATTTATAAAAAATAAATTTTTAAGAATAAAAAAATAAATAAATAATATAATTATAAGTAATGAATAAATATGTATAAAAATATAAAAGAAATATTTGAAGAAAATATATTAAAAAAAAATAAAAAAAAGTTAATAAAAAATAATATATATATAAATAAATAATATATTTCTTATATTATATAAGCAAGCCAATGGTCCTCTTCGATAAATATCGATGTCTAGCTATCGTTTAATTTGCGGAATAATTTCAATTGGCTTTTGTTGGTTGAAAATGGTTGATCCAAGTAAATAAATATATAATATATATTTTGAGTCTGATCGATAAATATCGATGAGCAGTTATCGTTCATATACCATCCTACCGTGAACTAGTTCATTCATATTAATCACTAGTTCCATTTGTGGAGCCGGAACGGATCGCTTCTGAGCCGCTCAGTACCTTGATGGAAATAACTCTTCATTGTCGAGCTATTGTAAAAACATATCGATAACAAACTTTTGGAGAGTTTAACAGGGCAACTTGTCCACTTATTCATTCGATCGCTCCAAAGAGTTCCGCCCATCTTGTGGCTCATTAATCACTACTAGTCCTCAGTAGTTCATTCGAACTAGTTTGGAACGCAGGCAGCCTGCTCTGCAGCTCTGCGGGCTGCGTAGCTCTGATAATCCACGACTTGTTGTTGAGTTGATCAATTGGAAAGCAGCCGCCACAGCAATTGCGACCGCATGTCAATGGATAGGCGCTAGCAATGGCAGCGCCGGACACGCCCTGCAAGGATGCCTGCAGCCCAGAAACCTATGCCTCCCACAGCCACATAGTTATAGCCCGGAATGATGACATTTACTGGTCCGCCGCAACAGCAGAAGGAGTCTTCAACTTGCTGGCAGCTGCTACCTGCCCCCAGCTACCTGCCACCTGCCACCTGCCACCTGCCAGCTGCCAGCTGCCACATGCCACGTCCTTGAGTTTTATGGGATTTTTAGATATTTATAGATTGCGCTCTTACAATCGCCTTGGTTGAGCAGCAAAAGTTGTGTGTGCTTTGCTTTTGCTAACAAATGCCCAAACCAAGTGCCTCGCCTTATACGTATGTGTGCTGCTGTGTGTGTGTGGTGTATGTGTGCTCTGAAGCTGTTGCGCAACGTAGCATAAAAAATGGCTGCATTCGGCCTGCATGCGACGGGCGACAGGGCATTGCGGGGCCAGGCATGGCAAATCAAAGTCAATTTGGCAAAGCGAAGAAAAAGGTTCTGGACGAGGCGCCCTCGAGTGGCATGTCCTTGCTGCCGACCACAAGCACTGGCCCACATTCAGCCAAATTGCAGCCTCAAGCGCTCAATGGGCGTGGCATGGGCATGGCCATGGCAAGAGGCAGCGACAGTCGGCAGGCTGCTTGGATGGCTGGATGGCTGGATGGCTGCATGGCCGGGTGTTGCAGCGGCGAGAGCGTAACAAGTGTTGCAAATTGAAAGGGACTTGGGGCAGCAAAGCGTGGAATGGCTTGGCATGTGGCCGGGGCGGGCCACTGCTTGGCACAGACGGCACGTTGGTCAACAGAAGCTTTGAGCATATTGTACAGCTTTGCAATTTTCTCAGGTAGCATTACCAACATACTTAAGCATGAGGAATACTTCTCCACCGATAAGCACTCACGCAGACGCCCAGCAGCTAAATTCTCTTGCAGCCACAATATATACAGGATATGATATGCTGAAACTGATTGCTCCAAGTGATGAATATATAATATTAAACAATATATATATATACATATATAAAGCTAATTCTAAGAGCGTTCTATTCTATAAGCTCCAAATGAAATTCGAATCTATTAGTAATTCCATTCAATCTATATATGTACATATTTACATATACCTACAATAATTATTGTTTATTAATAACCTCTTCTATCGGTCACCCAACAAAAAATTGTTCTATCTCTTGGGGGGCGTGGCATATCAAAAAATAGTCTGTGATTTTCATGTTTTTGAAGCGCAAGTATCTAGATTTTAAACTTGGGTTACCGTTACCTAGTTCTATGAGTTGGGCAAAAATGAATTGCACATATAGTCTTCATAAGGAGAGGTCTCCTGGTTTGCCACATAGGTCTCCTGGTTTGCCGCATAAT